TGCTCTTCTGTTCAGTGGGAGTGCGAGAAAACAAATTGTTTCGGATGCAGTTCAAGGTCGTATCAAGCAAACACGAGGTTCAGGCTAACGTAGCTGTGAAAGATACGCTTCAAAGATGGCACAAGAGAATGGCGCATCAAAACACTCGTCAAGTGAAAAAGGTATTGGATAGCTTGAACATCAAATATGAAGAGAACAAAGAGAAAATCTTCTGCGAGGACTGTGCGAAAGGAAAGATGCACAGACTGCCCTTTCCAAAAAGGAGCGGATCGGAGTCTAACGATTTTGGAGAGCTTGTTCACGCGGATCTTTGTGGTCCGATGCAAGAGGATTCCCTTGGTGGATCACGATTCTTCCTACTGTTGAAAGATGACTATACACATTGGAGGACGCTGTATTTCCTGAAATACAAGTCTGAAACAACAGAATCTCTTGAAGATTTTTTCAAAAAGGTCGACAAATGGTCGAAAGGAGGAGTAAAGAACTTGAGAACGGACAAAGGACTAGAGTTCGCAAATCGTGATGTCAAGATGTTAACCCGCAGTCATGGAATTACTCATCAGAGGACAGTAGCATATGCACCGGAACAGAACGGGTCCATCGAGAGAGAGAACAGAACAGTGGTTGAACTCGCAAGAACATCTCTTCATGCCGTTGGAGCGCCAATAGAATTATGGGCTGAGGCAGTGAACTACGCTGTATACACCTTGAATAAAACGGGAACAAGTAGCAAGGAAAATATGTCGCCATATAGACTGCGTTTTGGAAAAGAAGCAAACATCGCGGAGTTAAGAATCTTCGGAGAGCAAGTCTACGTACACATACCAAAAGAAAAAAGAAGAAAATGGGACGTAAAAGCAGAGGAAGGATACTTCGTGGGATACGACGATAACACAAAAGGATATCGTGTTTGGTTTCCTGATAAAAATCTTGTAAAAATATGCAGAGACGTCACATTTACAGGAAAATTATACAATAAAAGATCAGAAGTAGAAATAAAAAAGGTAACGCAGAGGGAACAACTCGTCATACATGAAGAAGAGAAAGTACACGAACACGAGGACGAACAAGATCAAACTTTAGTCGGATCCGATCATGAATCTGGGGATGGCGACCATCAAGATGACAACGATGAGACACAGCAACAAACGGTGAATGATAATCAAGAACTTGATCAAGATCAGAACGGCGAAAACGAAAAGATTACATACAGATTAAGAGACAGACGAGGAATAAAACCTCCAGCGAGATATCCAGCCGGGGTCAACATGTGTACGGTCTTCTATGCAGAATGTGATGAGCCGATTTCCTATGAGAAGGCAATATCAAGCACCGAGTCGACAAGATGGAAGCAAGCTATGGACGAAGAAATGGATTCTTTAAAGAAAAACCAAACGTGGACACTGACCGAATTGCCGAAGAATCAGCAAGTCATCGATAATAAATGGACTTATAAGATCAAAAGAAATGGTGATGGCAGTGTGCAACGATTTAAGGCGCGATTAGTGGCGCGAGGTTTTAGACAGAGAGCTGGCGTGGATTACACCGAAACATTCAGCCCTGTAGTTAGATTCGATTCAATAAGAATTATC